GAAATATAAAGATCGGTTTTTATTTTTTTTTTTAACTCTTACCGTTTATTTAAAAAAAAAAATTTCTAATTAAACTCCGATTTTTCAGTTATGCATCACTTGAGACTCGTTTAAGTTATTTCAATATTTGGTATGCAACTTTGTGGGATATGTTCATGTCTTTCAGAAAAATAATTTTAAAAATTTTTAATTTTAAAATTAAGTATTTTTTAAGAGAATTTAAATTTTTAAAAATTCTGTACAACGGAATACACGCGGTTTCCGAATAAAAAAAAATCCTCATATTGCTTCATCAATTCTTCACGAAGTGGTAAAATAAAATTTTTGTATTTGCAAGACCTACTAGTAAAGACAACGATTTTAGTTTAGCAACTTTGCATCATGCAACAGCAGCGCAACGTGTAAGAAGAGAACAGCAATACGAACACGGGAGAGCAGCAATAGTGCTTTCCCTTTCTTCCCTTTTCCCTTTTTTTCCATTATTTCCATTTTTCAAAAATGTCAAGGAAATATCTGTTACACACTGTTACTAACTGTTACCAACGGTAATAGTCTAGAAGAGGGGCCTGTGCCCCAAAAAGCGCGACAAAATTACCCTCGATGGACTGCGATTTCTTAGGAATTTACGTGAAGAAGATTATCTAGTCTAGAAAAGGGGCCTGTGCCCCAAAAACCGCGACAAAATTACCCTCGATGGACTGCGATTTCTTAGGAATTTACGTGAAGAAGATTATCGGCGGAAATGCATGGTTCTCTTGTAAATGCATTTCAAAGTGGCGTGTTTTGCTATAAAAACAACGTAGCATTTTCTAGGATTTGTAGGTGTTTTGTGACATTTTACTATAAACAAGAGAGAACGCTATAGTCGGGTTGTTGTCCCGACTATCTAATACCCGTCACTCCCGACTAATAATCGTAACTCAGCTAAAGGGAGTGCGAGGGAGATAGATATATAATTTTTGATTGCGTATAACTTTTTAATGAATGGTCCGATTTGAAAAACGTCTTCTACATTTCGATAGGTATAAATATACACAACAAAATTGCATTTATACTTCTCGGAAATCTTTAAAGATATGGGCGCAGGACCCATTTTAAAATCGTTAGTGGGCGATTGTGGGCGTTAGAGGGGGCGTGGCGCTCGGCTAAAATAAACTTGCGCTGCGTAGGAAGCCAAAGAATATGTGTGGGAAATCTCAACCTTCTAGCTTTTGTAGTTTCTGAGATCTCAGCGTTCATACAGACGGACAGACGGACAGACGGACAGACAGACAGACAGACAGACAGACAGACAGACAGACAGACAGACAGACAGACAGACAGACAGACGGACAGACGGACATGGCTAGATCGACTCGGCTAGTGACCCTGATCAAGAATATATATACTTTATGGGGTCGGAAACGCTTCCTTCTAGCTGTTACATACTTTTGCACGAATCTAGTATACCCTTTTACTCTACGAGTAACGGGTATAAAAACATATGGGCTTTTCGTTTGTATTCAAAATAATAAAATTCGACAAAAATGTGAAATTGTTTTTATAGCAGGCCAGACCCCACACCCCACAACAGCGAATTAATGTTAAGAACTGGAGTGACCATAGATGACCAAGACATACATATCCTTTAGGTAAATCTGAAGAAATCGCGGTCCAAGGATGATTATCTATTGTAACCTTTTTCACGGTCTTAGCCGTTATAAAACCTTTAATTTTTATATTTTTAAACAAAATCGTAGAAAAGGCTACACCAAAATTGCACGCATTTTATAATCCTAACGGCAATACAAGTACTAAAGAAAATGTAAAGAAGAAGTGCTATGCGCCGCAGTCAAAAAACATTTAAAAAAAAATCGCGCGATTTTTTAAAAATATTTTTGCATGCGGCGCATTACTGCAAAAAATGTGCTATGCGCCGCAAAAAAATTTGTTTTTTATACCCTTGCAGAGGGTATTATAATTTTGGTCAGAAGTTTGTAACGCAGTGAAGGAGACGTTTCCGACCCCATAAGGTATATATATTCTTGATCAGGATCGATAGGGGAGTCGATAAGCCATGTCCGTCTGTCCGTCTATCCGTCCGTCCGTCTGTCCGTCTGTATGTCTGTTTCAATACCGTTTGCGAGCTCAGTTTAAAAGCTTGAAACTTTCACAGTTGTCCTAAAACATGTGTACGCAGATTAAGTTTGAAAGCCGACCCGATCGGACGTCTATATCCTATAGCTCCCATAGGAACAATCGGATATAGCTTTCACAAAATGAAGATATTTCGCTCAGTGTAAGAGCTTTTGACATGAATCTTTCTAAATGTTATTCTTTTACGCATACCTTGATCAGGGTAAAAGCGCGTGCCGATCGGACGTCTATATCATATAGCTCCCATAGGAACAATAGGGTGAAAAATTTTTAATTTTTATTTTTTTCAATTGTAAAATATTTTGTTGTTTATTAATTCATGTTGCTATTTTAGTCAAGTTTTCATTAGTGAAATCTGCAAGGGTATTAAAACTTCGGCTTGCCGAAGTTAGCTTCCGTCCTAATTATACCCGTTACTCGTAGAGTAAAAGGGTATACTAGATTCGTGCAAAAGTATGTAACAGCTAGAAGGAAGCGTTTCCGACCCCATAAAGTATATATATTCTTGATCAGGGTCACTAGCCGAGTCGATCTAGCCATGTCCGTCTGTCTGTCTGTCTGTCTGTCTGTCCGTCTGTATGAACGCTGAGATCTCAGAAACTACAAAAGCTAGAAGGTTGAGATTTCCCACACATATTCTTTGGCTTCCTACGCAGCGCAAGTTTATTTTAGCCGAGCGCCACGCCCCCTCTAACGCCCACAATCGCCCACTAACGATTTTAAAATGGGTCCTGCGCCCACATCTTTAAAGATTTCCGAGAAGTATAAATGCAATTTTGTTGTGTATATTTATACCTATCGAAATGTAAAAGACATTTTTCAAATCGGACCATTCATTAAAAAGTTATACGGAATCCAAAATTATATATCTATCTCCCTCGCACTCCCTTTAGCTGAGTTACGATTATTAGTCGGGACACCAACCCGACACAGCGTTCGCACTCCCTTTAGCTGAGTGACGGGTATTAGATAGTCGGGACAACAACCCGACTATAGCGTTCTCTTTTGTTTTTTTTTTAAATTTTAATGCTGCGGCGCATTAATTGCATTCCTTGAACCGCGATTTCTTGAACCTTACTTTCATAATAATTTTATAAGACACGCATATGTTGGTCATCTATAGTCATTCGAGTTCTTAAGGAATCACTGTCCACCGAGGATAGTTAAGTCTTAAGATTCATTTTAAAATTGTATATGTTGGTCATCCATGATCGCTCAAGCTCTTAAGGAATCACGGTCCATCGAGGATATTTAGTTCACGGTTGTGGGGTGTGGCTTGCTATAAAAACAATTTCACATTTTTGTCGAATTTTTTCGAAAGCCTATTATTTTGACCGCCAACGGTAAGCCCATTAGTTGTTTATAGGAAAAATGTCACAAAACACCTGAAAATCCTAGAAAATGCTACTTTGTTTTTATAGCAAAACACGCAACTTTGAAATGAATTACAAGAGAACCATGCATTTCCGCCGCATTTCTTCTGCACGTAAATTCCTAAGAAATCGCGGCCCATCGAGGGTAATTTTTGGGGCACAGGCTCCTCTTCTAGACAATTACCAAATCAACAAGTAACATTTATTTTTTGAGTTTTGTAAACTATAATAGCTAACAAAAATAGTGGTGTATTTAAAAAAATTGTAGTACTCTTCTATGTGCATGATTTTTTTTGTAAGAAAAATGTACAATAACAGTTATTTTCGGTCCCTGCTAGTAACACCAAATTATTTGGAATGAGATTTGTGTTGTTGACGAACTAACTAGCCAGCTAGAAATTTAATACATAAATGGCTAAAAGCAGCATTTATCCAACTTGGGGGTTCCTTTTCTAATAATTGAGAGAATTATTAAAAAGTTTTAAGTTTGAACAGTTACGAATCGAAACTTACGATATACAGTGGCTCCATCGCTAAATTGAACACCTACTTTCATAAAAAAACATGCAAAAAAATGAATAAAATGGGTGCACATTAAACAACGGACAAAATGATGTATCGTTTATAAAAATCGGTTCACAACATACCTAAAAAATGAACCAAACTATAACCAATCAGATAAATGCTTGGTCAAAAAGCACGATTTCCATACAAATTTCAACCGATTTTTATAACCGATACATCATTTTGTCGGTTGTTTAATGCCCTTTCAGATCATCAAAAGAAACATTACAAAATAATTTTTTAAATATTTTGTATCCTTTAAAATCTTAAGGTACTTTGGAATTATGCCGTTATTAACATCTGGATTTGGCCTTTCCCGCCTCTATTGTCAAATTAAAATGTATCCCGGAACCTCATAATAATTTCCTGGACAATAGACTTGACTTCTCCGACCAATCCAGTGAATTTCCGTACAGTTTTTAGTTCGAAATTGAGTTTCCAATCAACTGACGAAGTTTCACAGAAAATGTCTTTCCTTGGAGCCATTTCAACTTTTTTTTTCAGTGTAGTGATGTTTTCTTCTCTTAATCTCTACTACAAAGTAATCTCAATGCCAAAAACCCCAAGTGTGCAGCAAGTTCCATAAAAAATCACCGTATTCGAGTGTACGATTATTCGTTGAACCTTAAAAATCGGATTTTTTATTGCTTTTGTTGGAAAACTAACTAAATATGTGATTTTTGTTTATGTTTTTGGAAGATATTAGCATCATGTATAAGTAAAAGCAAAAAAACGACGAATTTAACCCATTTTATTCTTTTTTTTTTGCATGTTTATTTTATGAAAGTAGGTGTTCGATTTAGCGATGGAGCCACTGTACATAGTTTCAATTCAGAAATGTTAAAAACTTCTGATTTTTATTTATCTTCCTACTCCGAAACTCAATATAAACTACAAAAGTACCTTAAAGTTATCGCCAGCGCATACCTTGAAATTAATGTTGCGAAAGTCTAGCTTTCGAAGGTCAGCACCAGAAAGATTTACGCCCTGAAAGCGCAATTCCGTTATGACTGAGGTCTGAATGATGGCCTTTATGACGTCGTTGCGCGTCAGTGGCCTGTCACCCATCGGTGCCTCCTGCTGTCCAAGGCGCTCCTCCAAATGGGTAACGAGCGAATAGATTCCAAAGAATCTTGCCTCCTCAAGGACGCCTAGCACACTGATGTTAGAATCACAGACGAACTGGCCATGCCGCAGGTAGTTGATGATCGGCTCAAAATAACGAGGGCTCCGGTCAATTAGGAAAGCTCCTTTCTCGTCCCGCTCGCTGGGCATCATGCTGCCATCTTGCAAAAACATTCGTGCCAGCATCGAGTCCGGTTCCCTGCCGACCAGAGTATCGATGGTAGTGGCGTAGATCTGACCACCCACATTCAGCTTAACCCAACGATTTGGGGCGAAGACGCTGGCAGCGGCGAGACTGTTGGCTTCCGGAGGGAGCTCGTTCCTTCCGCAGTCGGAAACACTCTCCTTCGGTTCACTGTCCATTTGCTTGGACAGTTTAGCAAATAGCTACACAATCTGCTGTCAATTCTCAGCTGTTTTTAATTCGTTTATTCCTCTTCCCTGTGATGTTATTTACATTGGATGTCCAAATAGACTGTTCACACTGGGCCACAACATCAGCCGCGCTGAAAATGACAAGAACTCAGTCTGGCTATTCCCTAACTGTTGAATGGTGGAATTTTGGTCAGCTGTTTATCAGCTGTTCCATACAAAATTAACTTTGAGAAATTTCAGCAAACTCAGCCTCGAGGCTGAAAATTTCGTTGAATCGTTGGAAACCAGAGTTGTTACCCTTTTTTATTAAAAGTCATGGCAGATCTGTAACATTTTAGTATCAACAGTACGCATTATTAATTTCAAAATCAACTTAGAAAGCATATTTGTGGTTCTTTTTACCTTGGTACACTCACTAGGGTGAGCAATGGCCGCGTTCAGCAGAACAATATGATCACTGATGGATCAGTAATAAGTGATCAAGCTTGTTCTGCTGATATATTTTTTACTCATCATGATACATTTCGATGAGGTAAAAGTAAAATATATATCAAACAGTGCGCTCAATTAAAAAAAATATTTTTCCTGCCCCTACAACTTCAGCACTGCTCACAGCTGTCGTGAAGCACAGAGCGCATCCACCATGCACCATCCGATAACAGCTGACTTGATTAGCAGTTGCTCATCTCAACATTAACGAAGGGGGATTTCAACTCAACAAAACTGTCGTAAAATTGCGTTCTAATCTTATTGTAGAATAATAAAATAAATAGCATAAGATAATAGTTTTGAAACATATCTGAGCTTTTATAACGAGTATGCATATATATTCCCAGAGGCGAACATGTGAATGGGGTCTGGAGAAAAAATGCATTACAAGTGTAGAAAACGTAATCGATTACGATTGCTGCACCTAAATATTGTTGCCTATGTGTTAGTTTTTTCGTTTCCCCTTCGACACGTTTGAGCTTCGGGACTTCAATAGTAAGAACGTTCATTTTGAGTATAGTTTAACGACCTAAATAAAGCCTTTCCTTCCATTATACAGTAATACCCATGCTTGATTCCTACATGAGGAAAGAATATTTTTATTTTTCATAAATGAACAGCATTACAATGCAGTATACGTTTTTCAAATTGTATGTTGATTTTTTTTTAGTCCGTCTACATTTTGCATTACAAGTTTGGAAAAGTATAAAAGGTGATTCGGCCCTAACAATGAGCTTAAGCATAATTTAATTTTTTCCCTCCATCTATTTGATTTTTTCCCGCAGTCATCGTTCCATTTTTCACAGTCAATAGGAAGAATTCAGAGTTGCACCGATAAACATCGCCTAACTATCGCATAAAAGAGCCCGTCAAAGTCTGTCAAATTTGGATGACGGACTAACTGTTAAATTTTCGGAGCGGCAAACCCCTACGGACCATACATTCAACGGATGGTGGATGAATTTATGTGGGTAGACCTTATAAACAATAGCTGCGTTCAGCAGAACAACATGATCACTGATCACTGATGGATCAGTAATCAAGTTTGTTCTGCTGAACGCTAATGATACATTTCGACGACGGAAAAGTAAAATATATAACAAATATTGCGCGCGCACTTTGAAAATATATATTTTTCCCGCCCCCGCAACTGCAGCACTGCTCACAGCTATCGTGGATACATAAAAATCAAAAATGGCTGAACAATTATAAAGAATTCTACCGACTTTATGGTTTTTTTTAATTATTTTGTTATTAAGTTTCGATATTTCGACTATCGATGCATGCCAGAAGTCATGTATCATGTATCAAGAAAAGGTAGCGTACTTTTTTTTTTCGCTACCTGATGACTGATGCAAAATTCTTGCATCATGATCAGTGATCATGTGCGTTCAGCAGAACTATCGTAAGAAATCCATCAGTGATCAGTGACCATGTTGTTCTGCTGAACGCGGCCAATGATCATGAAGTTATTCTGAACGCGGCAAATGATACCTTGACTACACTACTCAGCTCCTTTCGCAACAGCAGCGTTGTGAACCCTCTTTGATATAAAGCACCTTTGTGAACAGTTTATTATTTTGTTACTCGATTTCGATAGTCCCGACATCGGAATGTGTGTATATGTAAATATAAAAAAATATTAAATTCGGCTTACTACCGCGTATAAATTAACAAAGCAAGTAGGGCAAATGGCCGCCGCCGAGACAGGTGCAAAGGCCAGCGGCAGTGCGGTGTCCAGCGGGCAGCGCGGCGTCAGCCGAGTTCTTGCCAAGTTGTCTCAATCCTTGGCCGGAGGGGAGTTTTATGAGGCGCACATGATGTACAGGACGTTGTACTTTAGGTACCCTCTTTTCTTAAAATTTGCAGCGAAATGGGTACGAATATTGTATCTCCCTTTATAGGTACACAGCGCAAAGACGCTACCAGGACTGCCTGGATCTCCTCTTTGACGGAGCACAACAGCTAATTTCCAAGGAGCAGGAGAGCAGCGCGGCGGACTTGTGCCTCTTGTTAGTTGACACGCTGGAGAAGCGAGGACCGCAGGCGGAGGACACCGACAACTTCTTGTGGGTGCCACGTCTAGGAGCCTTGATCCGTGGCCTCAACGCTGCGACGGTGGAGCGCGAGACCCTAATCGTAAGTCTCTGACGTTTTAAATCCCGACGTGTTGCCATAACGAGTTACATGTGTCCCCTAGCTACGGACCATTAAGTGGAGTACGGCACTGCATGGGCAGTACGGCCACCCGGTACTGCACAAGTTGATTGCTCATGTGTTTTGGACAGAGGGAAACATCGAGTCCGCTCGGCATCACTATCTTCTTTGCCAGGACGGAAGCCTCTGCGGCCGAGTGCTGATAGAGATCAGCCAGAGCAGAGGTTTCCAGGGCGAGGTAGACTTGTTTCTGGTGCAAGCAGTGTTGCAGCAGCTTTCGCTTAAGGATCGAAAGACCGCCGAAGAAACGTTCACCGAGTACACGCGGTACCACGCTAAGATACTCAGGCATGAGTTCCCCTACAAGGAACCGCTGGTCAACTTTCTGTACTTCCTGTTTCGCCTCATTGACGCAAAGCGTGTTGCTGGGTTTCGGGCCTTGCGCAAGCTTTACGATCCATCGCTTAAGCGCGACTCATCCTTCCTGAAGTACGTGGCCAAGATTGGAGTGATCTATTTCGACGAGCAGCCGGAAACAGGTCATGCCGGCCCTCCAGGATTGGGCGGCATGTTCGGGGACATATTCAATCGCCTAATGGCGGGCTTCGACGAGGACGACGCGGAGGATCAGGGCACGCCGCAAAGACGACAGAACGTGAATAACGAGCTGGACTAACATCAAATACAGATTTTGGCAGAAATGGTGCATAGCAAAGGACCCTTTGGTTACTACACTTTTTGGTCGCTCTTAGTCAACGAAGTTCTTTGCCAAGAATTCATCGGTCTTTTCTTGTTATAATTTTAATGTATGCGTATAGTCGCGATAAATGCAATGTAGATTCCACAGTGTTTTAGAGGGAAAATATAAACAAACGTTTATTTCACCTTGATCACCGAGCCTTATCCACTAACTCCAAATGGAAGTAGGGAAGAAGGGGGCACTAATAGGAGGAAAAGTTTGGTTAGACTTAGCTGCTATAAATAAAGAACCATTGGAATGAGACTGGTATCATTGTAAAGGCTGTTCTTTTGGCTATAGCTTTTCCTACATCATTTTGAAGTCAATTGCAAAGCCTTTGAGGAACGTTGCAAAATGTCAACATACTTTTTAAACTAGTATAGCCCCAGTACTGGGGTAATGACAGTAAGAAACTTACTTTCGCTGTTAACGGTAAAGGGTAAAAGGTATAATTTTTATAAAATTTTTTGAATTTTTTTGTCCACCAATCTTTTGATCTAAAGTAGAAAATAGTTGTGATTTTTTTTAACTCTTTCCCATGATATACCAAGAAAGGAAGCTACCTTCGGCCAGCCGAAGCTTATATACCCTTGTAGATAAAAGAATACTCACTCGGTGCAGTTCCAGGGATTCCAGATTCAGCGTTTCGATTTATTTCAATTTTGTTTTTAAGTAGTCAAGAATCAAAACGCCTACTTCCTACAAAGTTACAATGAATTTTCTTATATTTGATTGGGAGCCTTAAGATATAGTGGTCCGATCCGGCTGGCTCCGACATATGTACTACCTGCAATAAAAAGAAGACCTTCGGGAAAGTTTCATCGCGATAGCTTTAAAACTGAGAGACTAGTTCGCATAGAAACGGACAGACGGACAGACGGACATGGCTAGATAGACTCGGCTATTGGTGCTGATCAAGAATATATATACTTTATGTGGTCGGAAACGTCTCCTTCACTGCGTTGCAAACATCTGACTGAAATTATAATACCCTCTACAAGGGTATAAAAATGCGGTTATAGCTCTTTCACACATTTATGTAAGTTTTATATTTATATACCCGCTACTTGTAGAGTAGCGGGTATAATGTATTCGTGAAAAAGTATGTAACAGCTAGAAGCATGCGTTTCCGACCCCATAAAGTATATATATTCTTGATCAGGCACACTAGCCGAGTCGATCTAGCCATGTCCGTCTGTCCGTATGTATGAACGCTGAGATCTCGGAAACTACAAAAGCTAGAAGGTTGAGATTTTCCACACATATTATTGGGCCTCCTACGCAGCGCAAGTTTATTTCAGCCGAGCGCCACGCCCCCCCTAACTCCCACAATCGCCCACTAACGATTTTAAAATGTGTCGTGCGCCCACATCTTTAAAGATTTTTGAGAAGTGTAAATGCAATTTTGTTGTGTATACTTATACCTATCGAAATGTAGAAGAATTTTTCAAATCGGACCATTCATTAAAAAGTTATACGCAATCAAAATTTATATATCTATCTCCCTCGCACTCACTTTCGCTGAGGTTCGAATATTAGATAGTCGGGACACCAACCCGAGTACAGCGTTCGCACTCCCTTTAGCTGAGTGACGGGTATTAGATAGTCGGGACACCAACCCGACTATAGCGTTCTCTCTTGTTCTTCTTTGATTTCTACAATTCCACTATTTCTTAAAAATTTCGCGATTTCAAATTTTGTTTTGCCGCCCCTAACCGCGAATTGAGCCATTTACCTCAGTTTGACTGCAATCTGACTCATCAAATACCACGAAGATTGAAGACCAACAACAAGACCTTCAGAAAATAAATATTTCAAAAAATCTCGCGAGCGACCAATGTCCAATAAAGTATCCCGAACAGAATGAGACTATTTTCAAAAATTTGACAATGACGGAAATTGGTTCGTAATTTATTCAACTGATGTCTCTTAAAGCTCAAATTTTTAATGCAGCCCTCTGGTGTCCAAAAGAACCTTCAGTGAACACGGCGCGCAACTTAAAAGAGCCGCTTGGCCGGTAGGGCCACATACAATTGTGCCACTTTTACCATTGGAGCCCCCTTCTCCCCTCTTACCTAAATAAGTGGTCTGGTGTTATCACGACGCTTATGTCTTGCAAATGACGGAAAACAGGGTAATACTATACATATATTAGCGGGCTCACCCCCGAAATTCGCGAAAACAATTATCCTCGATGGACCGCGATTTCCTAAGAATTTAATTGCAAAAAGAACTTGGCGGTCGGCCATGGTTCTCTTGTAATTGAATTTCAAAGTTCCTGGGTTTGCTATAAAAAACATGTATGCTTTCCTAACGTTTGCTTTAAAAATCATATATGTACAGTGGCGGACAAAAGTCTACGGACGACCCCCTTTTTCTGAGTTCACCCACTCCTTTTGCTTTTACGGGAAAAGAAATGATGCAGTTTTGTTCTTTATGTTATTAATATACAAAAACTAAAATTGTATTGTTATTTATAAAAAACTTTAAAATTTACGGACGAAAAACTTAAAAATGGCATTGACAAAAGTCTACGGACGATTTTTTACATTACTTACTGCAAAATTTTCGAACCAAAATTACCCAAACCTGCTCTATAATTTGTATGCCCAGGTGAAAACAATTGCCGGAAAGCATAAAACAGCAGCCAATTTTTCAGGATATGCGCCGTATGATTTGGATCAATTTTTGTCCACAGATGCCTTCAAATTATGTTCAAATATGGTCTTATACTGAGAACGAACCATAATACTTTCGACGATGACCAAATTTCCTCATCCCGAGGCTTCAACTGATCCCCACTCTATATAAGGGGGATTCCCTGAACTGTTGAATTGCTGAATTGTTGAATTTTGGTCAGCTGTTAATCAGCTGTTCCATACAAAGTCAACTTTCAGAACTTTCAGCAATTCAACAGCCTCGGGGCTGTTGAAAATTTTGTTGAATTGCTGAAAAGCCAGAGTTGTCACCTTTTTTTGAAAGTCGTGGCAACTCTGTAACATTTTAGTATCACCAGTACGCATTATTTATTTTAAAATCAACTTAGAAAGCATATTTGTGGTTCTTTTTACCTTGGTAACACTTTTAGACAGTAACTAGCAATAATAAATCAAATTTTACATGCTTTAAGTTCCGTTAAATTTTTTAACAAATAACAGCTGTTTGAAAATTCAACAGGAACCATTTTGGGTCGTTCCCTTAATTGCTGAAATTTTTTGTTGAATTTTCAACAATTCAGCAATTTAACAGTTTAGGGAATCCCCCTATTGTTTCTGCAAATAAATAAAAAAAATAAACTGACTGGGAAACCAGTGTGACCATAGCAAAGGCTAAGTACAAGCGGATAGTAGCAATTGACTAAATGCGGTCTGGTCCTACCAAAAAATCATCGAATGTGCCCTGCAGAATACATCAGTTCAGATTAATTTAGTTTAATTTTCGTTGAGCCACGCAAAATAAAAATAACGTAAGAACCCGCCCGGTAAAGAAGTGAAAGCACACTCCTCAGCTGAATAAGGGGTTAGTAGCGCTCAGTAAAAAGAGTGCAAGCAAAGTAAGCTGGTTCGGGACCCAAATGCAGCCGATTAACATACATAAATAGTACATGGTGTGACAATTTCAGCGAAATGGCCGACAAGGGTGCAGCGCCCCCCGCAGACAGTGAGGCTCCTGCAGATGCTGCCAAAGAAAATCACACCACGTTGACTGTGCCCCCCGCTCCAGCGAACAAAGCACCCTCAGATGCCTCCACGTCCACTGCGGTCCAAGTGGGCGGTGATGTGGCGGAGGCGGAGCGCTGCTGCTGGATCTGTTTTGCCACCGACGAAGACAACCGCCTGGCGGCGTGGGTGAAACCTTGCCAGTGCCGCGGCACTACCAAGTGGGTGCACCAGAGCTGCCTCTACCGCTGGATCGACGAGAAGACCCAAAAGGGCAACGCCCTCCGCTCAGTGTCCTGTCCGCAGTGCCAGACTGAGTACATTATTGTATTCCCCCAGATGGGCAAATTCGGGGGTGCCCTGGAGGCGATGGACAATCTTATCAAGCGCCTTAGTCCCTTCCTGGCGGCTGGCTTCTTTGTGGGCTCTCTATACTGGACAGCTGTAACGTACGGAGCGGTGACTTTCTTACAGGTACATATTACGCACATAATTTCTAATTAGTTCCTTGTTCAGCAAATGCACAATTGACAGATCGTGGGCCATGAGCACGGCATGTCCATAATGGAAGCCGGCGACCCCCTCGTTCTGCTCATTGGACTGCCGGCAATCCCGGTGGGACTGGTGCTTGGTCGCTTGATCCGCTGGGAGGATGCTCTGTTGCGCCTGATTCGAAACCGCGGCACAGTGGTGCGTAAGTTTCCCTTCGTGAGCCTCATTTATCCGAACCTGTAAGTGCGCACACAATTGCTAGGCCCGCAGCCTTTAATGTTCTGTTTTATGCAGCAACCAAGATGAAGACCAGCCAAGTACCAGCAATCCGGCCACACCTGCTCTCTCGGACCCCGTGTCGGCCACGCGTGTGTTCTGTGGCGCCCTTTTGCTACCCACTATATCGTCGATCGTAGGACGGATTCTCTTTGACTCCGTGGACAACACGTTGCATCGCACACTCCTGGGAGGTCTCACCTTTATAACGGTTAAGGGAATCCTGAAGATTTATCTGAAGCAAAAACAGTACGGCCGACGTAAGAAGCGTCGAATCGTCGACTACACTGAGGAAAACATTCGGAATTTCATGCATCGCAACAATAACAATGCCGCAAATGCAGCGCGACAAGATCAGCAGCCCCAGCAGCGACCAGTTCCTCCTGTTCAGCATATGGACGCAGTAATCACTCGTCAACGCGGCGATAGTGGAGGTAGCGTTGTCTAGAAGTAATTGGTATTAAATCCAATTTACAGGGTCAACTGTTTTCTACGAGTTATCGTTTGTTTTAAGTTAATTGTTTTACCTCTCGCACTTGCAAGGACACTGCAAAGCTCATTTAATTTAGATGGCTGAAATTGAGGAAGAGTCTGCAGGTAACAAAGCTAAATTTATTGTTAAAGTACACTATGTGTAAAGGCCGGAAAGTAAATGTATATTCAAACTAGACGCCAATTAGACTTGGCAAATATTTTGTTAACAATAAAGAAAAATCCGCCATGTCCTTGCGTAGATATAATATCGATATAGTATATAATGGATTTATATATGTATATGCTTCCAAGCACTTGATTGGATACGTTACCCTTTTTGTAAATTAAAAAGTTGCCTATGTAAATAAAATCAAATACCGCTGCTGTGGGTGAATTACAACCGTAGAATACATTGTGCAACAAAGTTGTACCAAAGAGAACACTGTTTAACACTGTTTACATTCTCTTTGGTTGTATTGCTTATAATCCGAATAATTTCGCGTAGGGTTCGATTGCCTGGTGTAAGCCAAAACGCGGAGGAGCAAGAAAGTCAGAATAATGCTTTTACTAAATATTTTTAAATCGCGATTCCGGATGATGGATGATGACAATGAAAGTTTTAATTGTGTTGGAGAATCTGTATTTGCATCAGTACAGGTTGTCTTATTCATACTTATGAATCTGCGAAGCTTACATTAACTTGGCTCTACAGTTTAAACTAATCATTACGTCGCAAAAGCTTTCAGTCTTCTATATAAATATGTATGTACACACATAGCTAAGACAAAATATACTGTTAAAGAACTGTCCGAGGCGTACGCTCCAAAAAGCGATCTAATCATTTATAATTGCTAGCAAGTTTTGTGTTTGTTTTGACTCTTTGTGCTTATCATTGGGAGCACAGAAAAGATACGCTAAAATGCGATGAGCGATCAAAATAGTGCAGCATCGACTTTTTGATGCCCTTTGATTGAGCAAAGGCATTACTGTGTAAGATTGTTAAGCTATCCATTTTTAAGTTCAAAGAAGTCCTTTGTTCTAGCTTAACCCAAATTGAAAAAAAATCGTTTCAGAAGGAAACCATTGGTAAATTCGTGCGGACTTATCTTTATTGTCATTTGATTAATTTTGTCAGGGTATTGAAGAGGTTAAGAAAGTTCATATAAATCAACACACATGGCTTACTCTTCACATACATATGTACATATATATACGGACAGAAATATAATACCGGTGACCTGTGATGCCGCTTTAGCTTTTGGGAATGACTTCAAGAAGCTAATTTTCATTACTGAATTGCATTCAAAACTTTTAAAAACTTTTTTAGGCGGTCGCTTAAAAAATTGTTTGTAACTTTCAAATAACCTCGTGTTTAAAAATTGAATTAAGAGAATTATACGAATTTTAATTAATTAGTTGCTTAAGTAAAGATGATGAAATTTACTTTCATAGCTCGATTGCACTGAAGACTTTTCAAAACTATTTTAAGTGGTCGCAAAAAAACTACTTATAGGTTTAGCTAGGAAGTATAAATGTTATAAGCGTTTTTTAATTTCTTCGGCTTTGATACATACAAACATACAATATATATGCATGTATATATACTATACCTTTGACTGTTGAATGATAAAAACAATTGGCTTCGTTGGCTTTTTAACTAATTTTTTTCAAACGATTTGTGAACAATTTTATATTTATTCTACTTAAATATCCCCCGAAAAACACAGAAATTACTTATGATGAAAATTATACCTAAACGGATGGAATCGGTCAGCACTGTGCTACCTTACATATATATGTATATTGCACAAACATACATATATACATACATACATGCATAGGCGTGCGCTAGCCCAGTGGGCTGGCTCACCTACTTGGGCCTTCAGGAAGAAATCACTCGGCCTTAAGAATGAGTTTCGGATGGTCTCTTCGTCACTGTGACTTCTCGACTGCGCGGGTTGCGTTTGTTCTTTGTGACTAAGTAGCTGGAATCGGCGTCACCGTCGGCATCGAGTGGTTTTTATTTCGGCTTGGTTGTTAGCAGCAGCGCCGGGAACTTTGCCGCAGTCGTAGCCAAACTTCACGGGAACTACGAGCGCCGCTGTTGGATGCGGAATCGGAGTGGATCGCCACGAAAGCAATCAAAACAAAAGACCCCTGAGCCAGTGGCAGTACGAGTTCGGCTATCGGCGTTATCAACAGCAATATCGGTAACACCATCCACAACGGTTAAAAAGAGCAGGTCGCAGCCGAACTCAATCGATTTGCCAAGGCACCTTCTCCACCTCCGCCGGGAGGCCATGAGCAACGCGATGACAGCCGCCCACGAGCCGACGATCCACTACCTGGACAGTGTTCTTAGTGAAGAGGAAAAGCGGTGCGACTATGGCCACCAATGGCGCAACATCTCCATTTCCAGATCTGGACGCTTCCGGTCGAAGAACAAAAAGCGGGACGCGGTCGACGGCAAGCTCTTCGACGCAGGATCGGGATCGCCGAAGGAGAACGAAAAGGTGTGGTCCTTGCTTTTTGTGCGCACTTTCATTATCGCACCGGTACACTGTAGAATCCGTGTTCTGAAGGGTCGCGATTTCTGTGAGCGATGTTTGTACGCATGTATGTATGTATGTATCTGTGGTTCACAATCTTGCACTGATTCTGTTTCTATTAATGTGTTGGTCGCAACAACAATGGGAATACCCTCGTATATCGCCTATGAAAACTTACGGAACCGTGTAAACTTTTACACTGTAAAGTAAACGGAAATGATCGATATCTTAACGAAATCCTCCAGACTAGTTAGGCTTACACTTTTTTTGGCATAAAAAATCAATTTACTTTGCGATTTTTTTTATAAAAACTGTTTGGATGGATTTAATTTATATTATTAAGTGTCATTTAAATAACATCCACTAATTTTTATAGCCGATACTATCGGCTAATATATCACTGTATCTCCGCCAAAAATAATCGGAATTTTTTATGTTAAAGAATTTTTATACCCGTTACTCGTAGAGTAAAATGGTATATTGTATTCGTGCAAAAGTATGTAACAGCAAGAATGAAGCGTTCCGACCCTATAAAGTATATATATTCTTAATCAGGGTCACTAGCCGGTTCGATCTAGCCATGTCCATCTGTCCGTCCGTATGAACGCTGAGATCTCGGAAACTACAAAAGCTACAAGGCCTTAACCTTTGAAGATTTTAGAAAAGTAAAAATGCAGTTTTATCATCAATAACTATCGAAATGTAGAAGAATTTTTCAAATCGGACCATTCGTTAAAAAGTTATGCCCGATCAAAGTTTTCTATCTCCATCACCCTCGCACTTCCTTTAGCTGAGTAACGAGTATCTCATAGTCGGGGTTTCCGACTATAGCGTTCTCTCTTGTTTCGATCTTTTAAAGTCAAAATGCGTTTTTCAGCTAAAAAGTTCGACTTTCGGCTCACAAATACAACCTTTTAAAATCGAAAGCTATGTACGCAGATATTCTTACATATTTTTATATTAACACAAATTAATGACGATAGCCATGCGCCAAAAACACTGTCAAGCAGTGTAATTAACACTGTTTTGATTGTTTCTCAAAATAGAAAATCGCAAAAACAGGCGACTTTCCTTGAAAAATATTTTTGGTACCACTGCTTATTTCTGATGACTTTGAGTAATTTTACTAAACTATGCATATCTCCTAGAACGTATACTCGATTTGCAAATATACATTTCGATAGGTATTGATAAGCACAATAAATCTGCATACTTACTTTTCCGAAATATTGAAATTTTTAAAATCGTATATGAGCGATTGTGGGCGTTAGAGGGGGCGTGGCACCCTTTTGAAACAAACTTGCGCTGCGTAGGAACTCCTAGAATCTGCAGGCAAAATGTCAATCTTCTAGCTTTTATAGTTTCCGAGATCTCAGCGTTCATACGGACAGACGGACAGACTTTTATATAGAATATACATAATATTCTTGATCAGGGTCCCTAGCCGAGTCGATATAGCTATGTCCGTATGTAGTTTATGGGGTCGGAAATGCTTCGTTCTAGCTGTTACATACTTTTGCACGAATATCCTTTTTTTTAACAAGAGAGAACGCTATAGTCGGATGCCCCGACTATCAGATACCCGTTACTCAGCTAAAGGGAGTGCGAAGGAGATGGAGAAAAACTTTGGTCCGCCGTAACTTTTTAGCGAATGGTCCGATTTAAAAAATTTCTTCTACATTTCGATAGGTATTGATAAACACAATAACACTGCATTTTTACTTTTCCAAAATATTGAAATTTTTAAAATCGTATATTAGCGATTGTGGGCGTTAGAGGGGGCGTGGCACCCTTTTGAAACAAACTTGCGCTGCGTAGGAACTCCTAGAATCTGCAGGCAAAATGTCAATCTTCTAGCTTTTATAGTTTCCGAGATCTCAGCGTTCATACGGACAGACGGACAGACTTTTATATAGAATATACATAATATTCTTGATCAGGGTCCCTAGCCGAGTCGATATAGCTATGTCCGTATGTAGTTTATGGGGTCGGAAATGCTTCCTTCTAGCTGTTACATACTTTTGCACGAATATCCTTTTTTTTAACAAGAGAGAACGCTATAGTCGGATGCCCCGACTATCAGATACCCGTTACTCAGCTAAAGGGAGTGCGAAGGAGTTGGGGATAAAACCTTTGATCCGCCGTAACTTTTTAACGAATGGTCCGATTTAAAAAATGTCTTCTACATTTCGATAGGTATTAATAAACACAATAAAACTGCATTTTTACTTTTCTGAAATATTGAAATTTTTAAAATCGTATACAAGCGACTGTGGGCGTTAGAGGGCGCGTGGCACCCTTTTGAAACAAACTTGCGCTGCGTAGGAACTCCTAGAATCTGCATGCAAAATGTCAATCTTCTAGCTTTTATAGTTTCCGAGATCTCAGCGTTCATACGGACAGGCAGACAGACAGACAGACGGCTAGTGATCCTGATCAAGAATATATATACTTTATAGGGTCGGAAATGCTTCCTTCTAGCTGTTACATACTTTTGCACGAATACAATATACCCTTTTACTCTACGAGTAACGGGTATAACAAGAAAATGGGTGTGTCAAGCCTACATACGACAGAAGTGAAACTTGTAGTATTCTCTCGTTTATCATTTCATTATCTCTTTTTTTCTGTCTTAGGTTAGTTTGAAAATTATATGTTAAATAATTCAAGGACAAAGCATGGATTTGGTTTATTTCATATTTATTTACAAGTATACAATATTACATAAATAACAATATTACAATTAAAAATTACCAGAGACCGTAAATAATGATTACACTATGCAGCATTTGTAGTGCTTTTAAAATTTACATCGATGGATGCTATATTTTTGTATTCGTTACGAATTCTCAAGTTAAACCAGTCCAAAAAGGTTCCCGACCCAAGGATTCTTAGCAAAAGGACCTCAAAGTTCGAAAAATGCTGAAACTGGCCAACTTTCCGGAGGTCTCAGAGGAACGGATTCATGGTTTGATTTAATGTTAAAGTTTTTTAAAAGATACACTCTTTATCTTTCAAACCCCATACTTAGAATAATTTTAGGATTTTTATTAAGGGAGAAACAAATTTTAGATAACATAGTCAAAAAACACTACTATTTTGACCGCAGCTGTATGCTTTTATGTTTTTTCAATTATTTTTAAAGTTGCATTGCAACATTTTGAAAAATCTTAAAAAACACCATTTTGGCAGGCTTTTTGTTCTAGGCGCCCCACAGTGGGACGTGTCTAGACGGACTCGGCTATTGGCCCTGATCAAGAATATATGTATATACTTTATGCTGCAAAAATTTGATTGAAATTATAATACCCTCTGCAAGGGTACAAAAACGTCAAATTTGAAAAAGTACCCTCTGTTTAACCCTCTAGTGCCCAAATTTTCTTTTCCAAAAAAAAATTATTTTTGGATTCATTATGTATCAAAAGTGAATGTTTGTTTTAGAAAAACTTTTACTTTTACATGGATCGAGTTTTATAGAACTATATCCTTGGACCGCCTAGACCTAATACACACAAAAAACAAGAAAGGAAGCTAGCTTCGGCCAGCCGAAGCTTATATACCCTTGCAGATCATTCCTATTAATTAACAAATCGCAAAAATGTTCAATTTTCTAATATTTCTCATTAATTTTCCGATCGTTCCTATGGCAGCTATATGATATAGTCGTCCGATTTTGATCAAATTAAAATTGAAATTCGGAAATATTTAAAAAGAGTCATATCCTAGAGTAGAAGATAATACAATAAAAACCAAAGAAGCTAGAATTTATTTCCTATTACTTTTCCATTAATTTTCCGATCGTTCCTATGGCACCTATATTATATAGTCGTCCGATTTTGATTAAATTAAAATTGAAATTCGGAAATATTTAAAAAGAGTCATATCCTAGAGTAGAAGATAATACAATAAAAAGCAAAGAAGCTTGAATTTATTTCCTATTACTTTTCCATTAATTTTCCGATCGTTCCTATTGCAGCTATATGATATAGTAGTCCGATTTTTTAAATAATTTATTCGAAATTCAGAAATATTTAAAAAATAACATCCCCAAAAGTAGAAGGTAATATTTAAAAAAAACACCGAAGCTAGAATTTTTTAAAGTTTTTTTTTCCGATTGTTCCTATGGGAGCTATAAGATATAGTTGTCCGATCCGGTCGGCTCCGACATATATACTACCTGCAATAGAAAGAAGACTTTTGCGAAAGTTTTGTATCGATAGCTCAAAAACTGAGAGACTAGTGTGCGTAGAAACAGACAGACGGACAGACGGACGGACAGACGGACAGACGGACATGGCTAGATCGACTCGTCTTGTGATGCTGATCAAGAATATATATACTTTATGGGGTCGGAAACGTCTCCTTCACTGCGTTGCAAACTTCTGACTGAAATCATAATACCCTCTGCAAGGGTATAAAAAACTATGTAAAATCAACTATTTAATAGTGAAAACTGCCCCAACCCATAAAAAATAGAAAATGCCCCAAAAAATAGTAGATTACCTATAAAATAGTAGATAACCTACAAAATAGTATTTAACCCGAAAAAAATTGTTGTTTTTTTTAATTATGTTTTTAACTTTTTTTATTTTTAATTAAATTTGTTATATTAATTTATATGGAAGTTATTTATAGACACTTACATTTCACAGATACTTAAACTTACAAATCAGGTTTTTTGCCTCCGCTGGGAATCGAACCGGGGCCGCAACCATCAGAGTCAAGCACTCTAACCACTAGGCCACAGAAGAATGCTTTTTGTAGAGGAAAATCTATAGACTTGAAATCAACATTTAACAAAAAAAAAAAAAAAAAAAATATCATCTGCAAAAGCGGGATTTGAACTCACGACCCAGAGATTATGAGTCGGTTACTCTAACCACCCTAAGTCCAGAAAAATAGTTGACATACAATTTATAATCGTATTTTTAAAACAACAAAATATATGAAGGAAAAAAATAGTTGTGTTACGAAATTAATTGTGGTGTTACTATTTAATACCCCAAATAATAAAACAACAAAATACACGCAAACAAATAAAATAGTTTTGCTACGATATTAATTGAG